TTTTAAAAAAAATTTTATGTGTACGAGTGTATTGCCTGCATGTACGTGAGTGCACCCATGTTGTGCAATGCGGAGGTCAGAAGAGGGCTTCGGATTCCCCTGGAACTGGAGTTAAGGATGGTCTGTAACCACCATGTGGGTGCTGGGAATCAAACCCGGGTCCTCTGCAAAAGCAGTCAGTGCTCTTAACCACTGAGCCATCTCTCCAGCCCCTATTTTGTCTCTTTAGTTGTCTCTGCTCTGTAATGGTTTCTCGGTCTTGTTTCGAATGACCTTCAAAGTTTGAGAAGTACAGTTATACAATAGCATGCCCTTCAATATGGGCTGGATATACACTGGGTTTGCGGGGAGGAATCCCACTGGTGTCGTTCTCATCACATCAGTAGTGCAGTAGTATTGCCAAGGGCTCATGACTGATGGTGCTAACCATGATCATGAGCTGTTTAGAACGTGGGATTTCTCACTATAAAGTTATCAACTGGCCCTCATACTCTACTCTTCTGAAGAAAAGTAAGAGTCCACTCGGGTGGAGTGGATTGGATGGGGTCAAGATCTTCCTACTGAAGAGTATCTTCATAAAGTGTGTAGAATTCTTCTGTAAGGGGGATTTTTTGCCTCATCTGTTCAATCATTTATACCAACCAGTATGGACTTAGGATCTTTACTTTGGGTTTAATACAATAGTCCATGTTTACTTTGGCCATTAAGAGTCTCACCTGTTTCGATACTGGCTTTTTGGCATCCCCCATCCTTTCCAGAATTACAAGATGATAACAGGCTTGTTTTGTAGCTTCCTTGTTTCAATCATAGAACCAGAAGAATAACACTGTACCTCAAATTTTGTGCTTAATGCCAATTGACTGAATGTGGGTTTTATTAATTTACATTCACTCTCTATGTCCTATCTCTGGCAAACATTTCTGATGTACTAAGTTTGTGTTTTGTGTTGGAATTCTTATGGTCAAGAGGCTTTAATTTCACCATAGTTAAAAATGTATCTCCTAATTGATAGATGAAGTAGGCAATGGATGAATTGGGTTGATCAGGAGAAAGCACCAGGACACAGATAAAACTCCAGAGGGATAGAATTTATTAGCAAAGGAACACATGAGACAGATTCCCTTCTGGGTAGAGAAAATGTCTGCCCCCAGGTCCTGAGCTGGGGTCTTTTATAGGGAGAGGCTTCTGGGGGATGCAGAAGGTGGGAAGATTTTTTTTTTTTTAATTAGGCATTGGGGAAGCAGGGAAATGGGACTTGTAAAACCTGCCCCCTTTAGAGATCAAAGGGGAAGCCTGCTGTGTTGGCCAAAAGGTGGAGAAAAGTCTGCTTTTGACTTCAAAGACCAAGGTGCCTTTCTCAGGGGCTGTGAACATTAAGGCTTTCTTGGTGAGGGGGCATGGCTGCTGGTATCTGAACCCTAACACTAATAGCCTGATTTGGGTCATTTTCCCTCTACCCAAACTGATCAGTCTCTTCTAAAGTGTAGTGAATAGTCCGTATTTTTCATTCCTGGTTAATGTGTTTAATAAACTGGTTTACTATATCTAGAGTTTACTATATCTAGAATCTAGATTTCCAAATTGAATAGTCTTAGGCCATGTGTTCCCATTTTAATTTAGAACATTTTGGAGTGAATGAAATACCTTCAAATAATAGAACTAAATATGCTGTTCACTTTTAAAAAAAATACAAAAACTTCCCTTAAAACAACACCAAAACTTTGAGAAGGCTAGATAGAATGTTTTGTGCTGTCACCATTGTGTATGTTAAGACCGTGTAGCAGAAATACTATAAGATACAGACTTGTGTAGATCTTGGCTCAAAGAAATATCCAGGAAGGCAGGATAAATATGAAAGTGTGGAATCATGAGTCAAGAGGAGAGAAAACAACCTATGTGAGGTGGTGGTAAACGCACTTCATGTGGCACGTTGGCACTTAGTTGTAGGTAATCAGCGTCTTTAATCCTCCAGGGGTTGCTTCTCCTTTTATCCCTGTTTACAGATAATACCATTGAACCCAAAACTTTCTGTTGGTTTTGCAATAGGGTCATAGTAGTATGGACTAGCTCAGTGGAATATCGTTGGCAAAAAATCCCAACAGGAGTGCAGTAGATTGAAGAGATCTAACAGGAAACGGAGTACAGAAGACTGAAGTTGGACTATGAAGATTGGGGGGGGGGTGCGGAGTGTTTGCTAAAGACTTAGTATAGATTTTTATGCATTTAAATGCATAATGGAAGGACCTGGGAGACAGGGAGAAGTTGCAGATAGAATCATTTAGTGGATCACTTTGGAAGCAGTTGCTAACTCAGACCACAGGTAGAAGCCTGAGTTACAGAAAAGGAGACAGAGCTCTGTTGATTAGGAAAAGAGAAGCAGGCTCATAGCCAGTGATGCTTGTCAGTGGCTAGGCAGGAAGTTGAAGTGTTCTGTTCTTTATCTCATTTTCTCTCAACATATCTGTAGATCTGGGAAAATTTCAGTGTTCTTTGAAGTTTCCTCATATTTATTACCATTCACTTATTTAAAAAATGCCCTCAAGACCTGTTTTTGTCAGGTTCGTCTATAATCAGAAATATTTCTAAAATGTCATTAATAAAATAACCCTAACATTGATCATTGTTCTGTAGGATGAAATTCTAATTTGCTATAGTAGGATTAATTTTAATTAAGATAATTTAACTTCCATGTAAGTTCTCCCTTCTGTATTTTCCCCCACCATCTTTCTTTTCCAATGAAATTAGCAACACTAGAGAGGGTACTATGAATGATTTAAAAGGGCAGGAGGTTTAGAGAAAGATCTCAGTTGAATTTTCTTCTTTCTAGCTCTGTCTCCAAACAAATCACAAAAGACAGAAGTGGACTCAATTAAAGGTGCTGGGAAAGTGTGGGTTAAGTCATTAATTGGGGTGCCTATGCTGAATAAGAAATTAAATAAAGCTGTAAAGATCTCTGCTGATTAGGGGAAAGGCAGAGCTCAGAGGACTAGGATTTAGAAGTGTTTGAAGAGCTATAATGCAAGATTAGGAAAATGTTCAATTTACTCATGATGGTAGTAGGAAATAGGTTATGGAAGTTTGCCATTTAAGAGTTTAGCCCACCTTCAGCTCAGGACCATTGTGAAAGAGAGGGCATAAAGATTGTAATCTGGGGTTTGTGCATGAACATAAGGAAACAGGCTTGCTCATATGAACTTACAGCAATGGTGACAGCTTGCACAAAACCCATGCAGAGTCAGACAAAAACCCAGCATAGAACTGGGGAAATGGGCAGCAGGCCCCAGCCTTAGCTGAAGAATTACTGGCAACTTATTACTGATTACTATTGATGGAGAGCAGATCTTCTTTAGGAGAGTGACTCCATATAGGCTGACTACACTCTGGTGGATGAACTTGCACCGAGGGACATTTAGGAACAAAAACTTGACCAGATGGGCCTTAATACATATGACAGAATCCATGAAATTGGGGTGGGGGAGAGCATCGAGGTATGGATGGGAGAAGGGGGTTTAAATATGATTAATATTTATTGTATGAAGTACATAAAATTCAATAAAAATACTCATTTAAAAAATGTGTGTAGTTGCTGATGAAGCCTAAGGTGAGAATATCAGAAGTTCTGGGATCTGTAAAGCATGACTTGATGTCAAGGATGTGAGAGAAGGCTCTCTCTGACGAGCTTTAATATTGAACTCGCACAGGATAACTGTGATGTTGGGAAATAAGGAGGTTGTGAGCTACCAACAGACCAACAGTGATTACATATGGACTTTTAAAAATATTTTACTGTATGTGTGAGTGTATTGCCTGCATGTATGTAAGTGCACTCATGTCATGCAGTGTCCATGGCGGTCAAAAGGGATTGTCGAATCCCCTGGAACTGGAGTTGCAGATGACTGTTAGACCCCATGTGGGTGCTGGGAACTGAACCCAGGTTCTCTGCTAGAGCAGCCAGTGCTGTTAACTGTTAAGCACATGGAGA